TGGTGTGGTCTAAGCACCCTAGTTATTACTCCACTGAAAACTTGGGTGATTTATCTAGCTTGGGTTATAGGTGTTAGGATTTGGATTGTGTTGTTGCCTTTGAAAATTCTGAGTGTAGTTCACATCCTGCACCGTTTGAACAAAATAAGATCCTACATTACAATCAACACTCTCGTGGTTCCCTCCACAATGTTTGCATTTTGAATCCATTGTCTGGGTTGCGTTCATCTAATTCACCTTCTGTGCCAATGATGCCAAATGTGCAGAAGTTGCTGTCAAAGAATTATTTTCGAATACCCCAACAGCTCTTTTTCCACTCGTCCTTGTAGTATGTCAAAGTGCACTGGTGAATGCTAGATCCTCCATAATTTAGAAGACTTGATTCCCAGTTCTTTTTGTGATAGAACCATCGCATATAGAGTCTACGTTAGCCCTGCTTATCAGATTCAGACCAATGTAGAAGTACTGCACCTGAAGCCATTTCTTCAATCTTTGTTGTGGGTATTTGAGGAATAAACCCTTGTACTGTTCCCAAGCCTCTGAATAGCATTCTGAGTCCAGTTGTTGGAATGTGGTAATCTCGTCCCTCAACTTTGCAATCCTTTTCGGCGAAAAATATTTGCTAAGCAATTTTTGACTCAATTGGTTCCATGTAGTGATGCTATAAGGTGGACAAGTGTTTGACCACTCTCTAGCTGAGTCTCTCAATGTGTATGGGAAAAACCTTAGTCCAATTGCTTTACTGGACATTCCTAGATACTTGATAGTTGAACATATATCCATAAATCTTGATATATGAGCGTTGAGATTCTTTATAACTTTCCAAAGAATTGTAGCGCATTTTAGAACATGTTGATTAGATCAGTCCTCAGGTGAAAGTTTGTCTGACTAAATGCCGGATATACTATGCTAGACTAGCTTTCCACAATCGATGGAATCATATACTCCCCTATTAGCCTTGCATGTTCATTAGCTGCAGCCATATTTGGTTTTGCTACTTCCAGATTAGCTCCAATGACTATTTGATTCGGATTTTCCTCTACCATATCTTCCTTTTTTTATTTTTGGTGTGTTTCCAACTGTTGTGTTTTTCGAATGTTGAATGTTCGTTCGATCTCATAGGTCAAATTGAGCAAGATCACCATCTCTCGAACTTTGCATACAAGGTCCTGAAAAAAGAATCAGGAAACACTGTAATGTTTTTTCTAATATAATAAAATAAACTAAAAGAAATAGTAAAATTTAGATCAAAACTAAATTTAACCAAACTTATAAAAAATAATAGTCCTCGACAACGATGACAAAAACTTGATCATTTGAAAACTCGCAAGTGTACGGGATCTTGGTTAAGAAATATAATGATAAATAGAGTGTCGAATCCACGAGAACTATGTGTTTAATCGAGTTAAAATTAATTACAACTCTAACCGAATATCAAACAAATTTTGTTTGATATTAAACTAAATTATCAATTAAACTAATGAAAGTAAGTGTATTTTTTAAATATGTAAGATGTATTGTTAAGATGTCGAATCGTCCTTATTATTCCATTTTTAGTATAACAATCAAAGTGACAATTTGAAATAATTCATGTTGGTCAATATTCATAATTTAATTGAAAGTCTATCTCAATAGCGATCAAATATATTTCATGTGACCCTTCTATCTCTCAATGAAAGATGCAAACATGATAAATGCATTAACAAGTGCTAAAACACCCATTGAAACCATATAAAACAATAAGGTATATCTCTATCCTCTATCGAACCATACAATATTTATTATATTGTGCTTAAACCCTATTGTCTCTCTCAATAACAATAAAATCCACTAACAATTCACTTGGTGATCAAACAATTGAAAATATAGATAAAAACGATAATAAACATCCACTAATCAAATCAAATTAAAGTCAAAATAATTAATTAAAAACCAATAATGTATAAAACTAACATAACATATTGAAATTATAAGAAATCATATTTAAGTGAAAAGATATAACCCGAAGTTTTAATAAATTGAGAAGATGAAGATGAATCTTGAAATTTTGAATCTCTTCAATGCTTCTTAATGAATCACCACTTACGCATTCTCTTCTTTGCCCAAAAATCAAGTTTGAATATTCATTTGTTTTAATTCTTGCAAGTCCCCTTTTTATGTTCTCGCAAAAACTATGAATTTTCTTCCTTTAATGATAATAATTGATGAATATTGGGGGTATAAGATGTATTTGAGAGGTCTTCAATATATATTCTGCCGTTAAGTATTTGTAATAGTAGAAAATTGGTTGAAAATCACGTCTAAATTGGTTTCAAACAGAGTTTCGATCGAATAAAAAAGTTGCATTCGCGTGCGGATTTTTTTTCTCTACACATCCGATTGAAGTAGTTCAAAATGAGTTGGAAATATAACTCAAATGACTACAACTTTGATAGAAATAGAATTTTTCAAATTCGGACATTTACTATGCTAAAAATGGATCTCAATTTTTGACTAAAAATCTGAATTATAACCTATGATTTTGATCAAATTCCATTCATTTTTGAGTTCTAATTCCATCCATTTGTCTCCTAGCAATCTTTAAAGTGTCGCCTTGTGGTTCGAATCAACTATTGAATATTTGCAATTTGGTCCTCAAACTTTGGACTTTGCATTTTTTCCTTAAATTTTCTTTTGTTTCTTCCAATTCCTTGTTCAACCATCGAGTTTTGTATATATAACATAAAATAAAATAATTTAGGATATATTTTGTTAAAAGACCTATCAAATATCTATATTTTAGACCCCCGAATAAGTGTATAAAATACACTTATCAAGGCATAATAGAGATTATCCTCGATTATCTGAAGAGATAATCTCATGTTATACTTGTTTGATCTTGTACGGACTTTGTATGCATTTGAGATTCTTTCATTACAATCTTTTCTTGAAAACTATGTATATATACTCCATTATTGAATGAGAATTTTGCGGAAAAAATTTCCCTCTCTATTATCTTATAAATT